ATTTGAACCGCTGAACTGCAGATAACAGTCAGCTGAAGTAGCCTGCAGTACTGCACTCTAACCACTGCGCCACCTGGGCTCTTAGCCTGCCCCACGTGCCTCCCTTGCCAGGCCTGGCTGTGCTGCGGAGGGAAGAAAAGGCACCTTAAGCTCTCCAGAACAAGCGTTGCCTTTCACAAAGGCTAACAAGAAGGACAAAGCAGCTATTATTTTAGGCTCCATCAAGTGACCTGCGATTCCTTTCTCTGAATGTGGCCAAGGCCACGAGGGGAGCTGAAGCAAGAATGAAGAACTAGCACCAGGATGCCCCTCCCCCAGTCTTAGGGCAGGCTGCTGAGAAGGCCCTGGGTGTCAGGCTCAGCCTCCCCGCACAAGCGGCTGGTGTGGGCAGAGGCAGCTCCGAAGCCCTCTCCCTCTGCAAAGAGGCCAGGAGGCTCTCCTGCCAGATCTGCACCTGGCTAAATTCTGAGGATCTTGAAGCCGGCAGCCTTTGCAGAGGCCCCACTCTGGCACCCCCCAGATGTGTGGGTGCTGCAGTCCTGTGGTGCAGCCTGGCCAGGAAACGGAGCCCACCAGAGTTGGGGGGGCTCATCTGAAAGGGCTGATGGGGGAAAGCCTGCAGAGAGGCTCAGGGTGCAGATGTTGATCAGGGAGACTGAACTTTCTTCAGAGAGAAATAAAGGGGGAACTGAGATGTATGTATGTATGTTGTGTCTCTGTGGAAGTAAAAACTCAGCTTCCTCTCCTCTCCACAGTTTACCACTATCAGTTTAAAATCCATTTCATCCATGAATTCCAAGAACCACGAATTGATCCAACGTTCACTATCTCGCTGACTGGCAACAAAGATGACGTGGAAAATCTCTCCATCACTTTGTGAGTTCCACACTTTGCCCAACGGGGCTGGTGTCCTAGGCCTTGGCACAGAAGCCACGCTTCACCTCAAGCCAGGTGCCTTGGCATGTTTCTCACCGAGGCTCATTTCCTCAAGGTGCCCCTTCATGGGGAGACAAAACGGCACCTGCGCAGGTAGCAACACCTTTATAGCTTCTCCTCTCTCCCGGGATGCAGAGATCCTGGAGGCAGATGTCCACACCTGGCATCCTTTCCGCTTCGACCTCTTTGGTACTATCCTCCATCCACAGAGTCTTTTTGCATCATTCTCCTTTAAGTCAATAAACCCGAGATCCGTCAATCCTCTTAGTAACGCATGTTTGTAATCATTGAACACCCCACCATTTTAAATTGGGAAATTTGCCAGTGGTGCTGCTGGAGTGGCCCCTGGCAGAGGCCGCTTGGTGGAAGGGCAGAACACAGACAGGTGAAGCCCCAGGCGATGGCTCTGAAAGCCTTTCTTCTTCTCTCCGTCAGAATCGAAGGCATCACTCAGAATAAAACCTACACTTTTCTTGTTCCTCTGGATATTGATATTGGAGAGCTGATGATGATCAAACTGAAGTGGGAAGGAACGGCCATCTGGGAAAACATTTGGGACACTTTCCAAACCATCATCCCTTGGAGAAAGGGGGACCGTCGGCCAGGACTCATCGTGACCTCCATCCGAGTCAAGGCGGGAGAAACCCAGCAGAAGTAAGTGGGCCCAGACCCCTGCAAGAGGGGCTTCCTTCCCACAGCCAGGCCCAGCAGCAGCAGCAGCAGCAGCAGCGTGGGAAAAGGGGCTCAAAACCCCCATCATCCTCTTCGTTTCACAGCTCCCGGGCTGCCCTCGGCCGGGCAGAAGAAACTCACTCTTGGCTTAGTCATTCATGTTTCTCTCTTTTTTCTTTCTTTTCAGAATGACATTCTGTTCTCAGCGGGTAGATAATTTGCACCTCTATCCAGGTCACGAGAAAATGTTTGTGAGATGTGAAGTCAGTTCCCAAAAGCTGAGATGAGAGTATGGCTGATAAGCCGGCGTCTGAAAAAGCTGCTCCGGAGGGGGGAGGCGTCTCTCCTTAGAAAAAGGAAAGAAGGAAGGAACACTTTTTTTCTACAAACACACCAACGTGAAACCCAAGAAAAGTGATGGATCAGGATGTACTGTAAACTGTATACATTAAAGGCTAGATTGAGTAAACAAATAAAAAGTGAATAAAAAGCTGAAACTAAATCGGCCTTGTGCAGAAAGACAATTAACAATCCACATCTTTGGACTAAATTATTATTTTTCCTTGAAAGGGAGGTTAGGCTGTTAAGACGTCTGTAAGATTAGTCTGGCTGGGTGGGTGTGAATTATTTTGGCTATGCTGGCTTTGGCAGATAAGAACTGGAGTCCAAAAACATTTGAACGGCTAATTCTGATGCGCAAACACATTTGCAAAGTAAGGTCAAATACTTTGTGAAAAAGGAGGGTTGAAAAAGCAGGAGTTCTGAAGAAGAGACGGCTTCCTCTTGCCCGAAGGGAGCCCTGGGCAGAGACCAGCTCCCTTGGGAAAAGCATTCCGGGGAAGCTCCACCCGAGCTGGAACCTGGGACTGAAGCTCTGAAGACCATCCTCTCAGTTAGGAAATGAAGAGAGGGGAGGGGGCTTCTAGGAGAGGCCCAGCCAAAGGCTAGCAAGCACCGCTTTCAGAGAGTTTAGGCTGGCCTGGCTAAGAAGGGCTGCGCCACACACTTGGGGGAAGGAGAGGCGTAGCTGCATTCCACATACGCCCGTACCCCTCCTCTGCCAGATGGCACTAACGTATCTTACATTAAATATTTCGCAATATTTCTGCTGTCCAGAATTCCAGGATAATAGCAGCAATCTAGTTGCTAGAGTGCAAAGAATATAGTGGCTGTGCAAATTAATATTTTCCGAAAGGTGAAGCAAAAGGCTTTATCTTCCAATTGGTTTCTCCCTTTTCAAGAGAGTCCAGCCACAGGAGATGCCTTGCCAAGCCGGCCTTTCTTAACAGCGCTCTTTCCCCTAACGTTGCACTGAGGCCCGGAAGAATGTGGGCGGGGGGGGGGGAACGACCCACAAGAGTAAAGCCCCCTCAAATGCTGCTGTGCCCACCTGATCAAAGCACTTTCTATTTTGGGGAGTGTGGGAATGCTTGCAAGAAATGGCTGGGGGCCCATTTGGGTGGTTGGAGCTGCCCTTTTTGACACACCTGTGACGCCCCCCATCCCCCGCCATCAGAGCAAACGAAGAACCGGATTTCCCGCCTCCCTTCCGGTCCGAAGGGGGAGCATTTGCTGAGCCACAAGGATCCCCTGCAGGGAGCAGGAAGGACAGTAGGCGAAGGGCTCCGTCAGCAGCCCTAACTTGTGACTGAGGGGCCACGTTCCCCCCCTTCCAAAGGCCCCTCAGAATCCGGGGTGTCCCCTTTCCCGGGGTGTCTCGGGGGTGAAAGGAAAGCCCCTTGGCCCCTTCTGGGAAATGCCCTTTCCAAGGGGGGCATAACAGCTGGCCAGATGGCTGTCCTGGGTCCTCCCAGGAGGGACGGAAGCCACCAGCCCACGTTGCCAATGGAAGGCGGCAGCTGAATGGGGGCTGGAGCTGCAGGGGCTTTTGCCGCAGCCCCTAGACGGGTTCGCTCCGCCTCCCTTCAGACTCGAGAGAAAGAGGGCGACTGCTGGAGTGATTTCATCAGGTCTATTTATTAATGCATTTCAAGTTTCAAAAACCCTTACATCTGTTTGCACAATACTTCATTTTTTTTTGCAACTTTTTAGTAAAAATTTCCAAAGTGAACAAAAAATACTGTATAAAACACAGTGGACATTAAACCGACAGTAGTATTAGATCGCAATTTGCCTTGATAGTTTTATTTTACCACATCTTGACTTGCAGTGGAGAGTTCAGTGCATTTTTTCTTTGCAGAAAACATGAAACTTCGGCCCCCAGTAAGAACCGGGCAGTCGGCTGGCTCTCTGCCAAGCACGGCTGCCTGCCACAGGATAACATCACAAGCAAAGAATTTACATGGTCCAAGATCTACCACGCTCAAGAAGTTACTAAGACCTCTTGTAGAATAAAAGCCACCATTTCAGAAATGCAAACCTAGGCTTCCAGTCTTTGCACAGTTTCAAGAAGAAGAAGAAGAAAAATCCCAAAATGTAGTTTAAAATGATTTAAAAGCAACTACAGAGACTTCTAGCTAGTTAAGATCCTTCAGAATTATTTATAATCTATTAGTCTGGGGGATTCATGTACAAAATTTGTCTCTAAACCATGTACAAAAAACCTGTATTCTGAAAAAAGTCACCACATACTGTACAAGTTTTACAAGGAAGAGATTCCCATTATATTCTTTTGAAGTTTTCTGCCTTGCTGGCTTGCGAGTCACAGGATGAGACAGAAATGTCTAAATCTCATACTCTTGGAAAACCAAAACAAAATCCACAGCTTGGCTAGCCCCCCCCCCCCCCCACCCCCAAAATACACCTGGGTTTCTAAGCAAAGCCAGAAATATTTTCAGCCTTTTGGTTCCCGATCAGCTTGGCGCTTTTGGAAAAACAGAAGCAGTGAAGTCAAGCTTGAATAATGCCCTCTTCCATTTCCTGCATAGCAGTTAAGCATATTGTGACATTGCTTTTTCTCCCTTTAAAAAAATGCCAATTATATACACTTGCAGTAAAAACTTTGGGCCATTGTGCTGTTTGAGATCCTCTTTAGTGCCTTCCACATTCCCCAGCCTACAATAGTTACACAACCACAGCAATTCCCGCAGTAGTGGCTTCTGTTTTAGTGGTTATCTTTTAAAACAGTTTCATGCCGAAAGATTACTCCAATACTTGTTACAACAAAACAACACTTTCTCCCAAATTTTCAGAACCGGGATCCTTATTACCACTTATCAAGGGGAACCGATTACCAAACCGTGACAGAACGGGCAAAGGTTTCTTTTTCCTCTTTGAATCCTTCTGCGGCCCTCTCAGGAAGTCAGGCGCCGACCGAGCCACGAAGCGCCATCCCAGGCAGGCGAGCCAAAGCCCGGACAAGCTCTTCCCATAGCAGCCTGGAATCCTTTCAGCAGAGCCGGGCCGGGAGGGGACCCGAACGCAGCACCCGGACAGGGCCTCAGCGGTAATTCTGAGCGAAACAGAGATGCATAAAAATTGCATGGACTTGACGTGATTCACAATTCCTGTGTAAAGCATTACAGAATCCTGGACCTTTATACACCGTCAACCTTCTGTTATCCTGAGTATGTCAATTAAACAGTAATTTCTTCATTAAGAGCATAAAAGGTTTATAATATAAAGGAACATCCATATTGCAATTATATTGTTTTACAATTGCACACAGAAGTACAGGTGTACGTTAGAAATACAATGTCTGCGTATGACCACTTATGTACATTGGCAAAGGAACGCCTCGCTTCCTAGCCGGGGCAGCCGAAAGAGATGCTTCCATTCCTGCAGAGAGGTTCCATCGAGGCTCCTTTGCCTGCAGGTGAGGAAAGGCCTCCGTGAAGAGCTGAGGAGGAGGAGGAGGAGGAGAGAAACGCCTTGCTTAAAACTGCTAAAGATCTGCTTCACGGCCAGCCACTTCGCTTGAGGGCAGGGAAAGGGGGTCTCAGGGCCTGAGAGCCTCCTCCGTTGACCAGGGACAATGACTTAATACAGGTTTTCTTTGGAGTGAAATTTTCCCACTGTAGGCACTAGGAAGAACCAAGGCAAAAAGCAGCCCTTAGCGTCTCATGTGGCCCATCTGGTAGTTCTCTCGGGGCCTCTGGCGTGGAGGGGCCTGAGTTGTTGGAGGGGGTCTCCTTCGCTTCAAAGTGCCTGCAGAAAAAAAAAGGGGGAGAGGCATCTTCAGAAGCTGCTTTGCCCAGCCAGCTGTGATCTTGATCTGCCGACTGCGGCTCAGCAGCTGTAAGCCGAAGCTTTAGGAAGAGAGTTTTCTGGAAAACAAGGGTCACCGCCGAGCACCAGGCACAGCCACGTCAACGGAAGCACTTGCCAACGCTCTGGATTCTTTCATAGGCACCGGAGCAGGAGTGGTCACACAAAACACATTTCCCACTCCCAAATCCCCGCTTGCCTGACGCCTCAGCTACTCCTCCCGCTGGTTCCACCCCCGCAGGCAGGGCAGAACCGAGCCCTCTCACGGTCCGTCCCTCCTCCAGCCCTGGCATGAGCCACCCATGTTCTTCTTGCAGTTCAAACCGGAGCCCCTCCGGCTCCCCCCGTGGCCTTTTTTCTCCTCTCAGCCCAAGTTGTGCAGGGCGACCTTTCACCCTGTGCCCAAAGCCAGCAAAAGCCTCACCTGGAAGGGGTTTGGGTGGCGGTAGCTTCGGGTTGCTGCTTGGGGTGTGAACGCTGCAGATCTTAATGAATCCTGCCATCAGCATGATGAGCGCGATGCCCATGAGCAGGACAGCCCACCAGTGTGCCTGGAGACAGAAGAAAGAGGTATTTTTTCCCCATCTGACCGGGCGCCATGAAGGCTCCAGGCAGAAAGAAGAAATGCCACCCTTCGCCACAGGCTCCTTTCGCAATAGCCCTTAGACTTATATGCCGCTTCACAGTGCTTTGACAGCCCTCTCTAAACGGTTTACAGAGTCAGCCTCTTGCCCCCACCAATCTGGGTCCTTTAAGAGCTTCTCTCCCTTGGGGGCAGCCTGTCCGTGCCCAGCCCCTGCAGAAGGGGCTTATAAATTTTATTGGCTGCCCATCTTATCAAATGGTAGCTCTGGGTGCCTCACAGTTACATTTACAGTTAAAACATAACAAGCTAAACTCTCGCAACTTAGTCTCTTGCTTAGTGACCTTCCACAGCCACTCCATGGGGCCAACTCGCCCAACCTTCACCCTGAGCAGGAATGCAACAGGAATGCTGCACTTGACTCCGCTCCATTGGGAAAAGGACAGTCGCAAGGAACGCAGCCATGGAGGGAGTTAAAGAGAGGAAATGCAGAGTGATTTTGATGAAAATATTGCTTTGGAAGATGAAGAGGTGGCCTCCAGAAGAACAAATGGAATTGAAAACACGAGGGAGGATTTGGGATAAGCTGAAGAATTGCTCGGAGGTGTATTTAGAGATGCTGTGGGAGTCAGCGACATTAGAAGAGAGAGATTGAAGCAGCTGCTATAAAGAGAAAAATGCAGTGAAGAGAAAGTGGCAAGTGATGCGAGAACGTTGCCGGTGGAAAGGCTACAGGTGTGGA